AAAAAAAAAAAAAAAAAAAGAAGAGGACAGGGATATCCAGGCCACGGAAGGCTGAGAGGGGGCAACTTCTTTTTTTTTTTTTTTTTTTTTGGAGAAGCATAACAATTTCATTCCAATGAGACCACCAGGGCCCGGGAACACACCCCTACATATCAACCCGGTACAATCCTGCTGAGGCCAATACCCAGCTTAGGCTCCTGGAAACCGGGGCCAGTGTCCCTTCAAGGAATCTCCAAAAATAAAAAAATTGTAAAATGGTTCTGTGGCAGTGTCATATATCCTTACTGCACTGGAAAACGCCGGCAGTTTTCTAAGATCGAAACACTATTGGCAAAAAGCTACGAGCTATAAACTGCATATCTCGAAAATGCACAAGGCAATTCACGAAGATTTTAATAATCTAACCCTAAAATTACTTCCAGAGACAAACTATCTTCTTAGATACAATTCAATTCTGAAATTCAACCCAAGTGCGTACTAAATTCGAAACTGAACGTATTCATATTGTCTACAAAAATTGCAAGTCTACAAACTCTCCAACTAAAGGGCCACTCTCAATGACTAAGAGCTAGGAAGGAAAAATAAACATTAGGGTTACCCTCTCGTCCTTACTATCCAAAACACTGTGAAAAGCCTTCGTTGCCTAGACGGGTTTCCCACCACGCACCCAGTGGATACAACTCTAGTTTGCTCTTCACCGGGTCTATCATATCATCCCAACCCTGAGAGGGGGCAACTTTTCACCACTTCCGAAATTTAAAGAGGTGTCAACTTTGAGGGCGCTGCAGGCTGGTGGTTCGACACCCTTGTGGAAAAGAAATATCTGACGATTCAACACGTTTGTCGAAGTGTTTTCGACATTTTTTCTTCGACAGTCTGTGTGGCGAATAAAAAATGTCGAAAACTCCAGTTAAAAAAAAAAAAAAAACTTTCGACATTGGTGTGGCGAGGCCCTAAGTGTGTGAAATGGACAGCAATAGGCATCACCTGGATCACCAAATCATACCGTATTACCATGAAGAACGGATTAGTGAAACGGTCTGACACTGGCAATAATGACGACCGAAAAAAGAAAAAAAAAAAAAGAAAAAAAAAAAAAACGATTGATGCAACGAAAAAAATCGATACAGGAGCGTTGAGCTAGCTGAGACGGAAAAAGGAGACAGCCAGTGCAAAGCGCATGGGCAAGGGTAGGGGGCGTTGTAATTGGGACATGGGATTTCCCCCCGGTTTTGATGAAATGAAAATAGGCGACATCGGAGGGCATACCGGCGAGACAACTAATATCAACCTCGCGATTTTCAGAACAGATCGCATCTCAAGCGTCGCGCGTCGTCACTCGGGGTTGAAAACCCAACGAGGACTGGGCTGAACGCTGCTAGTGGGACATGGTCCCGGCTCTCATTGCTCCTCTGTTTTTTTTTCCTTCTTCTTTTGCAAGTTTTTTGTCCATTTTGGTTCTCCACAAGCTCTGATGGCTCTTTGAGGGCATAGGGCGTCGCATGCATAACAGGTTCTCTAGTTGCCTGGGGCCATGTACCGGTGGTTTAAACAGTCTAAACGTTTCTGGACCTGATAACGCTCCCGGTACATTCACATCCAGAGCTCCGTGGAAAAAGTGCTACCCTAGTCTGAGTACCCCCTGAGTCTGTGAACTCTCTTTTTCTTTTTTCTTTTTTGGTCTGTGATTTTTGTGTTATGGTAAGTTTAACTTCGATTCGTAAAATGTAGCAGATTTTCACCTGTCTTTTCCCCAAAATTTCCCCCCTAAATACACAAAAAAATATTAAAATATCCCCGAATAGAAAGACTAGTAGGCATCATTTATGCTTTTTTTTGTTGGTCCGTGTCATCCTTGTGCAGGGCCCATGCAAATCTTCTGTGAATTGAAAACTCGTAAGGGCAGGGTCTGCCTCCAGGGGGCGCACCTTGCAGACAGGTTGTGTGTGCAGGCCCACTGGTGCAAGTGGAAAAAGTGCTGCTTGCTCAGATGCACCAAGGGTCTGGCTTCGCTACTCGACATTCGACACGTATGTGGACTGTTTTTGTGGACCAGATGCATTCCACCCGTCGATTAAACATTGTGAATGCATCTGGACCATTTTGTAGCTCCGGATGCATTTAGGATGTTGTGCAGTGGCGCGAGGCCCTAAAGTGTCTCCACTGCAGTTTAACCCCCATTCATCGCGCTGAAGGCGAGACGAGTTGGGAAGTCGGGACTGCCTATAGTGGAAGTGTTGCAGTCCTAAAAGGGAAAAAAGGAAGAGTTGCACCCCCCCCGCCCCCCCCCGGGAGTTCGATCTGCATTTTATTTTGCCGCCAAGGCTCTCACCAACGTTCAGCCTATTAAGTGGAGGTAGCAGAGTCCTATCCGCATCATTCATTCTGTCGCGAGTGTTTGCAGCCTACGTTGAGGTATCGTGGAGGACAGTGGAAATTGTGATTTGTATCATTTTTTGTTGTCGTCAACGTCGCCCGAATGATTATGTCGTTGAATCTCCGTCAAGGCATCGGCCAGGATTTCCTCTGAAATAGAACCACTGCTTAGGGAGTACTCACACTACTAGGTAGGACTTTTTCCCACTTCTCTGTGGCCGTACTTGCAGTCAGGTGCATGCACGCCGGGTCGGAAAAGCGGTTATATGCATCCAAGGAAGTCCTAGTGTGAGTATATGCCCTTACTAGACGACTTGCAGTCATTCCGCAAATCGCTGTCACACTGATTTTGAAAGAGTGGTTGCTGACGTTGTCCGAGTCACGGTCCTCACGGAAGCAGTAGATCGGCGGGTACTATGCCTTTGGCTTGGTAACCAAGGGTACTGCAATCGAAATAGTGCCGAGAGAAAGCGTGCAAAGAAAGAGCAGAGTCACAGAGAGGAGGAGGGAAGAGAGACTACTAGCTGCGCTCTGGGGGAGGCAAGGGTCATTAATGTACATAAAAAAGGTCCGCAGGGATGCAATTAACTAATTTGCAATGTTGCAAACGATTTGGAAGGCTGTTGAGGCTGTTGTTGCAGCACAGGGATTATTTGTAGCCTCGTAGGGCTGCGACTGGGCTTCAGGAGGCGGCGGAGGAGGAGGACAGGTAGGAAGGTAGACCACTGCTGCAACAGAGAATCAGCAATCAAACAGTTTGAACCGGGCAGTGCCACGCACAGTAGCGAAGGAGAAGGAGAGGGAGGAGGAGGAGGAGGAGGAAGAGAATGAAGAGGAGGTAGAAGAGGAGGAAGAGGAGGTAGAGGAGGAAGAGGAGGAAGAGGAGGAGGAGGAAAGACCGTGCTGCAATAGTGTAGCAATCAAACAGTTATGAAGTGGGCAGTGCTGCGCACAGTAGAGGAGTAGGAGGAGAAGGAGAGGGAGTAGGAGGGGGAGGAAGAGGAGGAAGAGGAGCATAGACCCTGCTGCAACAGAGTAGCAGTCAAAGTTGTCAAACAGTTACAAAGCGGGCAGTGCCGCTGACCGTAGAGGAGGAGAAGGAGAGGGAGGAGGAAGAGGAGGAGGAGGAGGAGGAGGAGGAGGAGGACGAAGAGGAGGAAGAAGACGAGGAGATATCCTGCCACAACAGAGTAAGCAGTCACAATCTTTTGTGTCCATGTCATGTTCGATAGGCATGAGGGTTTATATGACGACTGTCTTGACCTGTATGTTCCTGTTCAGCTGCTATTACATTGTCGCAGTGCTTTTCGATGGAGGTGGAAGTCCCAGATTGCTTCTGGACAGTTTCTGTGGAGCAAGAGTGAGCAGCCCACAAGCTGAGGCTGGGTCTCCCGACCCGGTTCTTTTCGACAGTCCCAGTGGGAACCCCACTGGGACTCCGAGCCCGGTTCTTCTTGACGCTCCCAGTGGAGATTCCCAAGTGCTGATGATGGGAACGATACGTATGTCGCCGACATCGTCAGTGACGTGCCATTATCCGAGGACCAGAGACATGTTTTGAAGATGTCGCAAGCGTGCACGGGGCGACGGGAGCTTTGTGCCATGGATGCGCATGACCTCCAACGGATGATTTCGGCACCCCATGATTGTTGCGCTCACGGACGGCGGTACTTTTTCAAGGGTGGGTGGCGCAACCAGAACGAGCTTGAGAATTTGATGAACGAGGAAAGAGGCAAGAGGCCCCCCGTTTGTGTTGTCGGTTGCTTTGCGAACGAAGTGCCCTGTTTGAAGAAAGAGCCATGCTTGCTGCAATTCTTTCTCCGACCGGGCACTTCGGACATCCGAGTGCTAGCGCAGTTGTATGAGGAGTCCGAGTACTCTTTCGTAAGCGAGTACAACCTTAAGACGATTCTCGACGGCGGAGGCAACGTCGGACTGGCGTCGTTGATCTTCGCTAACTTGTTTCCGAATGCGACGATCGTCGCAATCGAGCCCGATCGTTCTAATTTCGAAACGCTCAAGATGAACGTTCGGGCTTATCCGAACGTCCATCCCATACGTGTGGCGATGTGGAACATCGTCGCAGCGTCAACGAACCCGGGCTGGGAAACGAGTGGGGCACGATGGTACAGCAGTCGAAGGAAGGGGTACCGGCCATGACGGTCGACGTCATTCAGGATCTGTTCAACGTAGCACATTTCGATTTCGCAAAGATCGACATCGAAGGAGCAGAGAAGGAAGTGTTCACGCCGTCGGAGACTAACACGATGGAGTGGCTGACAGCCGTTCCGCTTGTTAGCGTGGAGATGCACGACTGGATGAAGGCTGGTTCTTCTCAGCCTGTTATGAAGGTGTTCGATACAGGGGTAATAGGAGTGGGAAATGGGACTGAGGAAGTGAATCAGATGAAGTTTAAGAAAGTTCAGGACTTTGGGATGTGGAAGGCTTGGGAAAATAGTGGTTTGGTGGAGACCATAAGAAGAAGGGGATCCTAAAAAAAAAAAAAAAAAAAGTAGTCCTTTTTTGTTGTTGTCACTTGTTGAAGGTGTGGGAGGTTGGCTGGTGGGGTTGTGTTGGTTGCGACTGTTGCTCTTGGCGAATAGATACTGAAAGCAATAAAGTTTTGTGAAATTTTGAAAAAAAAAATCACCTGCATTGGTTAGGATAAAGAGCTGAGCTGCAGGTGGAGCTAGAGGAAGTAGGAGGGGGTGGGGGAAGCGGCAAAGAGTAGAGGTGCCTGGACTGGATTTTTTCTTACGGAGGAGGAGGAGGAGGGGGAAGCGGGAGAGAGTAGAAGGTCCAGCTGTTTTTCTACTTGCAGTTTTGGTGCCTGGACTGGATTTCTCCAGAACATGCACATCTGTTTAGTTGGATCGTGGGTATGGAGGAGGAGGAAGAGTAGGAGGACAAGGACGACGACGACGAGGAGAGGCAAGGAGGAGGAGGAGGAGGAGGAGGAGGAGGAGATATGGTGAAGACGAGCATGATCAGCTGTTAACCCTTGGATTGATTTCTGTTCTATTGTTCTGACCTTTGAGTTCTCTTTTCAGCTCTGTCTGACGGTTTATATACATGTATAAAAGAACTGTTTAGTTGGGTTGAGTGTGCAAAGGAGGAGGAGGAGGAGGAGGAGGAGGAGATATGGTGAAGTGGAGGATGTTCAGTTGTTAACTAATGGATTGATGTGTGGTTTCGTTTTTTTTAGAATTGAGTTCTCCTGTAAATTCTGTAATATAATTAGTCGGTGAAACTTTGACGAAACAGTTTGTCACAGCGCCTCGTTTGGTGTCCTCTTCTCCCGCTCTGCCGACGGTTTACCGGGCAGTTGTGTTTAACGAAATATATAGTAGTAAATTAATAATACGGTTAATACCATATAGTAGGCATTTTTTGACATGATCATGGATGGATGAGAGCTTTTTGTCTTTTTTGTCAGAATTCCTTCAAGGCGAGAGTTTCTTCGGAGATGAAGAAATGAAAGTGAAGGCATTTCTCAGTACTGAGTCAGTAGCGTATAGGACGCTGGGCCCGGTTCCCAGCACGTGCTGCTCGCCACGATAGATTGGATCGTTGGACCATTTTTAATATAAAGAAAAAAGAAGAAGCTTAGAGGACACGTGGTGATTTTTTTGTTCCCTAGGGAGTGTTCTCGTACTTCTGGTCTGACTCGGCACTGCGCTCGCCGCTCGCCGCTCTTCAAGTGTGGAAGGAAAGGAAAGAGAGGGTTTAGAATTCCCGGCCTCAACCTTTCGCAATCTGTAAAAGGAAATGCTACATTTCTTCTTCTTCTTCTTCTTCTTCTTCTTCACAAAAAAAAGAAAAAGAAAGAGGGGTGAGAAATCAAACGGCAGAGGCAGATCCAACGGCCTAGCTCAGTTGGTAAGGCGCGCAAGTGACATTCAGGAGGTCTTGGGTTCAATCCCCATTGGCCTCATGTACCTTCCTGGGCAAGCTTGGTGCCCGCCACCTAGAGATATGACGTTGGCCCCCCCGAGTGGCATTGAGCAGAGACTGCTGATGTTCATAGGGGGAGGGACCGGAGGGGAGGCACAGTGACTGGCCCATCGAAGAAGCTCGGTCCTGATGCTACCAGCTGACCCCTGGCCAGTATCACCCACCTGCTGTAG